CCCCCCCTCTGGATCCGCCCTTGTGTCGAACCTTATTGATTTGGGCTGAAAAAAACATTCGAAACTCCAGAAAACGCATGAATTTATCTATTAATTCTGATCTTATCTAATAAAACTGTTATTAAATTGTTCTTGTGGCGTCTGGCGCTACGTTGCAAATTGTCAATTTTCGACGGCGTTTTCTCGGGTAGCCATGGGGCGACACTCACACTTTTTTAAGCGTCTGACATACTTAAGCATTCTATGACCAAAACCTCGCTATAACCACCTTAATAAAACCACAGAGAAAAGAACAGCACAAAACCATCAATGAATAAAAATAACCGGATATGCTAAATCTAATGGATGAAATCAACAATAAAACCAATGAAAGAGAGATCTTTTGGGACTCGACGAACCCAAAAACCGGATGTTTATTTTGCTTAATATCAATGCAAATCAAGTTAGTGATCATTCGTCTGCTGTGAAGAGAAAATCAATAAACTGACCTCAGCTGATGCCTCCCAAACAGCCCAACTGGGTCATGTTTTTCAGGCAAAATAGCAGCGTACAATCTAACAACTAACTAATATTGACAAAGCTGGACTGCATACCTGCAACCGAGCTGGCTGAAAACGATGCTACTCAATAACCTACTTTTCACAGCAGATTAATGGCCTTGTTTACAACAGGGAGAAAAATCAATTTAAATGCCAAACAATCTGGGTTTATCATCAACAGCCACCGCAGGCCAATTGTTAAGCACAATAGAGTAGGATTGTTGTGAGAATGAGGCATTCTGGTGTTGTAACGGCCGCATAATTAGGAACGCCACTAGAGCCGCTCCACTATTCTGTTAGGTCTACAGCCTACCTTATCAACAGAAGAAGTAATCCATGTAATGAGTTAACTGGGGAATTGATTATGGACACGGCACACACATACACAGACGAGCTGGGATGGGCCACACACCATATAAACAACACTAACGAAGACTGATCGACACGACAACTGCCAAACTTCTGGCACCAACAACATAACCTGCTTTTCCGCCTTTAATTGCGTTTTTCAATTAATCACTCACGAACTTTCCGATAATTTGCCCTCCGCCCCAACAACTGCGTGATGCTCGTTGAAAGAATTTTAGTCAGAAAAACCCAAATCAACCCGCAATTAGCCGAAAATTTTGCAAAAAACACCGCACTACTTTTTACTCTAACGTTCGGACGCGTTGGAATTCAAAATGGTCGCTCCACCGCTCCAGTGGCTCACGTATTTCAAGCCATTACGTCATGGATATACATAGTGTTGCCGTCACGCCTTTTACTTTATCAAACGGCTAGTCGGTCGTCATTACTACAAATAAAAGGTTACTTAGTTATAATCAACAATTTAAATGGAACATGGTGATTAATTTCGATGCGGTCATTCAATCAACAATGTATTGGAATCTCTGCGAATTTTGGAATGATGATAACTTTCTGCCAGTTAAGGGAGAATATACCTATATAAAACACCCTGTATATTGGGGTTTTATTGTCCAAAACCTCCCCGTAGGTCAAACTGGAAATTTGCTTTGAGCATTCGTTCGGCGCACATCGAAATTAACAAAATATACGTGGAATGAACGCAACTTCTCTTACCGTGAACAATCCACAGGGCTTGTGGAAACTATCTTCGATGTTTCCATCAATTTTCACCGATAAATGCCTAGAAATTGCGAAATTAGCAGGGGCATGACACCAATTGCGACAATAAGTTTTCGAGTGTTGACGTTATAGCGTCTCCATGGTGATGACGAGGCGACCCGTTTGATTGGCTGTCGTTGATTGACCAAGTCGAGCGCCAAATTGAAAAGCATTTGATAGGAATTATTTCAAGGGTCTCAAAATGATACAAATGGAAAATAACAAAATCAAAGTATATTTTAAAAAAGAGCTAATATCACAACAATTCAGAAGTAAAAATAAGACAACTAAGCGCTTGAAAGGCGTTTAAATTGGTCTATAAACTAGGTATACTGATGAAAATCTGGCAATAACTAATAAAGAGTAAGTTGTCTATACAAAATCGCAATTAAACTGCCGGGCAAATGGAAAGAACGAAGCAATTTTTTGCTGCAAATTAAACTATTTTCCCCATTTCGCAGTGCTTTATAAAACATTGTTGCCTACTTATTAATTGCTAGTATGAAAACGCGCTCTCGCTATCAACTCGCCTTAATGCACAAAGGAAATCATTTCTTTAGAAATCTCTCCTTCAAATAAACAGTACTATAAAAGTACGTTCGATTCACTTTGCAGACGTCCAACAGTTGAAATGAAATTGAATAAGTACATGTACATGTTTATAATTGCTAGCGGTGTTAAGTTGCTTGTTAGTAACAACAATAAATTAATTATTCTAGAAGGGCAAATTGAGAAACTTTAGCTAATATCAATGCGGCATTATCACTTATAGTACGACTGGCACTGGGGAATTTCACAATTCCGGATCACAATTGACAAGAAATGTTAACTTTGGCGTTCAGAAGGTTCATTCCATTCGAGTTAATTGTTTGAAGCTCTTTGGGAACTGAAACTAA